ATAGATTGACATTTAGCAGGAAAGCCTCAGCCTTAGTTTCTTTTTTATTACCAAATAGAGATATATTATTAGAATAAGGAGAGCAGTTGTTTTCCCTTCATGATAAGGTAAAATTTTTCAGGAAATAGGTTTGGATGAGTTGTTTAAGTATGAATTAGTGTTAGATTTTTTTGTTTTTATTTCCACTTAATGAAAAAGATCTGTAGTTCATTAAAAAAGTTCTTAGAGTACTTACTATAAATATGATTATTTGGTTTGAGTGGTCTCGAAAACATTGAAGGCCAGCTCTGTAGAGGCAAAATAACAAAGTTATCATCACAGATACTGTTGTCACTCACTTTGGGGACTCAGTCTGTAAAGAGGTGTAGCGTTAAAAAAAAAATGTCTATTGCATCACCTTCAGTAGAAAATCATAGAGATGTTTCTTGCAAAATATGTCTTTCTCCAACTAGGAAACATTATTGCAAGAGCACTTTAAACCTTCTTTTCTGCTTGGCTCAGAGAAATAAAGGTAAAAGAGAGAAGCGGGGCTGGGAATTTGATCCTAGCAACATGATTAAGTTTAATAATGATAAAGGTGGATTAGGAAAAACTCAAGGAACTGAACATTTATAAACTAACTTTTAAGGGTAAAGAAGGTATGTAGGCAACCCCAAAATGAAATGAAAATGGTTATAAATGTCCAAACATGATCAGTATCACTAGTAATCAAAGAAATGAAACTTTGCACCAGACTTTTTTGCCTGTCATATTGGCAAAGATTTGGGTGGTGGGATTAACATTAAATCTTAAGATACTTTGATGTTTTAAATTTTATCATGATCATGTATTAACTTTATAGATTGAAAAGGTCTAAGTATAAGCTATCTAGGTCTTTGGTAAATGTACCTGATTTGGAGGTAGAACTGGTTTTGTGTACTGAAGGAAGTAGTGACGTTAGGAAGAGGCAAAGTTTACTTCTCAGACGCGTTAGCAAGCTACATCAAGGGTGAGGGTTTAATTCTGATTGTTATGTATTTGCTGCATATCTTAACAGTCTCATTGCTTGTTTTTCTTTTTTTTAAAAAAATTATTTATTATTTATTTTTTGGCTGCGTTGGGTCTTTGTTGATGTGCGTGGGCTTTCTCTAGTTGTGGCGAGCGGGGGCTACTCTTCACTTTGGTGTGCGGGCTTCTCATTGTGGTGGCTTCTCTTGTGGCGGAGCACGGGCTCTAGGCACGCGGGCTTGAGTAGTTGTGGCTCGCAGGCTCTAGAGCTCAGGCTCAGTAGTTGTGGCACATGAAATTAGTTGCTCCGCGGCATGTGGGATCTTACCTGACCTGGGCTTGAACCCGTGTCCCCTGCATTGGCAGGCGGATTCTTCACCGCTGTGCCACCAGGGAAGCCCCTGCTTCAGTTTCTTATCAGAGCTATTGTTCTGTTTTTTAGACCAGAATCTTGACTCCTCTGTTTCTCACTTCTATCACAAAATGAGTCAGCTCACTTCTCTGCTTAACATCCTCCAGAACAGTTACCTTAGAAAGCAGTGTCATCCCGATGGTGGGAAACACATGTTAGAACATGATGTACAAGAGGGGGAAGAAGCTCAAGATCGCTTCTATCTCATTTTGAGTAAAAGCCAAACCCCTTTTCTCCCCTCACCCCACGCCCCATGTCCTCTCTGACCTTGCTTACCACACTCACTTCTTGCTGTTCTTTGAAGAGCCCAAGAGGCTCCTTACTGTTGCTCAGCCTCAGATGCTCTTCCAGATATCTCACGGTTTATTTCCTCCTTCAGGCCTCTGAAAGGCTTGCCTTGCCCACCCTGTGTGAAGCAGCTACCCCTCCTCTTGCACTCTGTGCCCCTACCCTGGCTTACTTCTTCATAGCACTTATTATTTATTGTCTGTTTCACTCCACTACTGTTAGGGTTTTGTTTCATTCCTTTCTGAATGTCCACCCACCAGTCAGGCACTCAGTACTTAGTTGTTGAATGACCAGCTGAATTTCCGAATTTTCTTTAGTGGCTTCTCAAGCTCTTTGCCTAGAGGAAGAGGCAGGACACCCTTGTTCTTCAACCATGGGAAAGTAAGGCTGCCTTCCGTGTACCAGATGTTTCTAAGAGGTGCTCTGGGGACTTCTTCCCCTTTCTCACTGCTCAGATTTTTACATTCTATTACTCTGGTAATATTACTGGTCAAATGAATCTGTTTTCTAAGTAACTTTTCCATGTTTGGGGCCAATGCTTTCCTTTTTCCTGCATTTGGTATCATTTAAAGTAAATACTTCAATGACATTTTGGCATTTATTCCTTCATTCAGTTAGCAAATAGTTATTATAGCAGATATTATGAGCCAGGCTGGGTACCAGATGGGATGCCAGGGCTTAAAGAGATGGAGATGCTGCCTTTCCCTTGAGTAGCTTGGACTTCAGTGTTTGGTTGTAGGTGCCATTGGGACAGGCAGCTGATGTAAGAGAAATGCAGAGAGGGAGGTCGAGAAGCACAGGGTGGCTCACCTAGGCCTGCCTCAGAGGGTTGGGAATCTCCACAGTGGACAGGAGTTTGAAAGGTGAGGAAACAGGTAAAGGCTGCTCCAACAGGAGAGAATAATTTGGGCAAAGGCGTAGAGAGCTGTACTTGTTTAGAGAAGCAAAAAAAATCAATGAGTATTATTGGAGCATACACTGTAATGCAGGCTGTGGTGGTGGACGAGGCGATGATCGTTCTTGCAAGGGCCTGATCTGGACGCTTCTAGAGGGTTATGTGTATCCTGTGTAGAGGTGAGACTTTTATCCTACAGCCCATGGATTTAGGCATGTGCACCTGAAGGGAAGTGGCTGGTGAGGTGCAACTTTTTTTTTTAATAAATTTATTTATTATTTATTTTTTGGCTGTATTGGGTCTTCATTTCTGTGTGAGGGCTTTCTCTAGTTGCGGCAAGCGGGGGCCACTCTTCATTGCGGTGCGCGGGCCTCTCACTGTCACAGCCTCTCTTGTTGTGGAGCACGGGCTCCAGACGCGCAGGCTGAGTAGTTGTGGCGCATGGGCTTAGTTGCTCTGCGGCATGTGGGATCTTCCCAGATCAGGACTCGAACCTGTGTCCCCTGCATTGGCAGGCGGACTCTCAACCACTGCGCCACCAGGTAAGCCCTAGGTGCAACGTTTGTAATTTGCATGCCCCCTTTCTGAGACAGGGAGAATACAGAATATTTTCTGTTGTGTATTAATATATCTCCACACAGAGTATTTTCAAATTTATAAATTCCTGAAGGGTGGCAGGATTTAATTTTGATGTACCTCATTTTCCTCGCATGCACTTTGTTTTTTTGTTTTTGGCCGCGCCGCATGGCTTGTGAGATCTTAGTTCCCCAACCAGGGATCAAACCTGGGGCCCCAGAGTGAAAGCACCTAATCCTAACCACTCGACCACCAGGGAATTCCCTCCCCACATGCACTTTGTGAGATAGACGCTCATTTAAACCTTCAGTAAATGATGATCACATCATCTGTAGTCCTGATCTGTTTTAACTTCTTATTATCCCCTTGCATGTTTTCCCCTTTATCTACCCCATCCCTTCCCAACTTCTCTTTTTGTCAAGCAGATTAAATTTATTATAAAAAGATGAGAAAAGGAAAGCTTTGTTCTGAGAGGATTTGCTGTCTGAGCTGTCGGATGCCAGGTAGTGTTGCTGCATCTGGAAGTGGGGTGGGGCCGGACTCCTTCCTGAGGCATGCATGCCTGCCCATGCTCCTTATCACCTTGGCATTCCCTGTGCCTGGCACACAGTAGGTGTTCAGTAGATGTTTGTGGAAGGAATCATGCTGTTCATAGACAGCAGGATTAAGTTTGTGTTTTCGCAACACTACTACTGCCTACTTTTCTACTTTGATCTGTATAATCTTTTCTTTCTAAGCTCCAGACAAACTAACCTCCCCTCTCCATCCCTGCAGACTTCCAAATATTTTCACCACGTAAAGTGTTCTTTCTCTCATCTGGCAAACTTCTGCATCTTCTCATAAGGCTTAACTCTGCCTCTTTCTAGGGAAGTCATTTCTGAGTAACTCAGGTGGAGTCAGGAACTCCTTCCTGGGTATAGTTTTGTATTGAAGTTTGTTCGGCCTCTAAACAGTGAGCTTGGAAGACAACCTTACCCCTTTCTGTGTCTCCAGTACTTTAGCCTGGTGTCCGGTGGTTTTGCGGACAGGATAGTTTGTAAGTTGTTGTAGGAAAGCATGTCATGATGAGTAGAAGTGCACCTGAGTAAGCCCTGTGCTGGGGATGTGGAATATTGTCCATTAACCTCTCAGCTGGCACCAGGCCTTTACATAGGTGCATGGATGAGAGTCTGTTTCAGAGCTGGTGCATAGGAACAACACCTTCTGTAAACTTGCAAAGTTAGAAAATTTATTCTTTTTTAAAATAATTAATTAACTAATTTTTGGCTGCACTGGGTCTTCGTTGCTGCTGTGCGCTGGCGTTCTCTAGTTGCGGCGAGCGGGGGCTGCTCTTTGTTGCAGTGAATGGGCTTCTCATTGCGGTAGCTTCTCTTGTTGCAGAGCACGGGCTCTAGGCGTGCAGGCTTCAGTAGTTGTGGCACGTGGGCTCAGTAGTTGTGGCTCACGGGCTGAGTTGCTCCGCGGCATGTGGGATCTTCCCGGACCAGGGATCGAAGCCCTGTTCCCTGCATTGGCAGGCGGATTCTTAACCACTGCGCCACCAGGGAAGTCCCTAGAAAATTCATTCTTTCTAGGAAGGACTCTGAGGAGGAGAGCAATATAATTAGGGCAGTGATTTAATGCCAGGAATAGAAGCTTGGGAGGAGGAGTAACTAGAGGCAGTTTTTCTTTTCAGGAGTCTGGGGAGAGATGAGGGGGTCTCCCTAACAGGGTGGTAGAAGGGAATGGTTAAGTAACTAGAAGAGTTTTTGCTGGAGGAGCTTACCTGCTATTTGGGAGAAATGACCACTGACCTCACCACCCAATAACTCAGCACTGATGCCCGCATCATCTTCTCTGCAGAGACTGCCCCAGCCATCATGGAGGTGGCCAAGGTGGAGAGTCCGCTCAACCCCAGCTGTAAGATCATGACCTTCAGACCCTGCATGGAGGAATTCCGGGAGTTCAACAAATACCTCGCATACATGGAGTCTAAAGGAGCCCATCGAGCGGGTCTTGCAAAGGTGATTATCCTCAGATCTTTTAAGCCAGAAAATGATCACTTGGCCTTTCAGTTATGCTTAGTCTTCTTGATGTGGAAACTTGTTTCTTCCAAAGGAAGACATTTGCAAAATCTTTGTTCTTGTTAATCCATTAATGCAGTTAATGCAATGGGAAGCATTGATAGGCTTAAAGTAGAGGAGAGGAGGATATGGTGGCTGCTTGTTTGTTTACTTGTTATTTTTGTGACATTATTTTGATAAGATCACACTGGCTTCTACATCAAGAATGAATTTGAGGGGGAGGCAGAGCAGAAGCAGGGAGTCTTGTCAGGGGTAGTTGTGATGTGCTCAGGGACATAAGCGTGGTCCCTAAGGCGCTGAAGACTGCATTGCAGGGTTGCCCCCGTAAGCCCAGAGTTAGAGCTTTGAAAGAGAGATTTTCTAGATTTGAATTTAACCTGAGATAGGTATATCTTTCTATAATGGAAATCTAGTTCAATTTAAAATTTTCCTCAAGAATAGATTTTATTGTTACTTGCTTTGTTTTGTTCTTGTTCTAAATGTTAAGTTTATAATCTGGGTTTCTGTAGACTTGTTGGCATCACCACATAAATTCCTGAGCCCCAGCAGAGCCTTCTCTACTGTGGCTCGTCACGGGTTCCACTTGGAACCCCATCTCCGTGGAAGGTCCAGTAGCATTGAAAGCAGACAGTAGCCTCAGAGAGAACTTGCAGAACTGCAGGGGTTGGTGTTCAAGTCCTCCTCCTGCATCTGGACGCAGCTGCTTGTAACCTTGGACTATTCTGACATCTCTGCCTTGAAGTCTGTTATTTGATATGTATGGTTCAGGTCACTCCTAGAAAAGGTTTAAAATTTGGGGATGTTAAGTTGAGTGAAAGTTGATTAGGGGTGGGTGAGAGAAAAGGAAGATAAAGGTTTATAGTGAATTTCTCAGATGAGCTATCCTTACTTAATCTTTTCATTAGGTTTGCTCTTAAAAGATCTCATTTTTGGAACCTTAACATTTCTGGGTTGTCTTTGAGGAGGAAAAAAAATCAAGTTGAAGAGAATGATATTTCGGAATCATTTGACACACAGAATTTTGATCATAAACTTAAAATGAACCGGTCAGCAAGGTTTTGAGCTTTATTGGGCAGAAGGGTGTTAGGGTGACTGTCTGTCCTCTACTCTGGGCTCTGAATGCAGCCCTTTGTCCTGTTGTTCTCCCTCTTTTGTTGCCTGAAAACATATATCTTACTGTGTTCCACTGGGATTAGTGAATGTTCTGTGGTTGGGGGCACATTTAGTAACCTTAGAAGAGGAAGCGGGCACTACCCTCACAAGGGAGCTGCAGGCACACAGAGGACACCTGTGCTGCCTTGGGTGTTCTCTGACAGAATGACGTTAATGAGAACGACAGTTAGTTTTCTGAATGTTGAACCAGACACACCTGAGTCCAGACTTTTTTTTTAAGTGAGACTCATTGACAAAGCTGGAGTTACTCATTTATTCAATCTTGTGGTAATTTCCTTTTACTTATACTAGGAATACAATAAACTGTTTTATTCCCAGTCATTTTTGCCATCTTTTACATCAAGTCACATGGACTCAGTTTCACCTGATTTCCTTCTTTTTCTGGAAGTTACAGCAATAGCAAATGTATAAAGCTACACCAAATCAAATCAAATTGTAAAGATCAAAACTGCATTAATGTTGCTAGTTTACTTTGAGGGCTAGCCCTGGGGAACAGAACCACCTATGAAATTCTTTGTTGATGCACCATTTAATGAATTGGTCTTAATTTATGATTTGAAGAAAGTGGTTGAGAAATTCCAACAGTAGTGACTTTGGCCTCAGATTACAGTCTGTCTTGCTTGATAACGTTTTTTAAAAAATCAATCAATTAATTAATTTTTGGCTGCGTTGGGTCTTCGTTGCTGTGCGCGGGCTTTCTCTGGTTGCCGCGAGCGGGGGCTGCTTTTCATTGTGGTGCGCAGGCGTCTCACTGCGGTGGCTTCTCTTGTTGCGGGGCATGAGCTCTAGGCATGTGGGCTCAGTAGTTGTGGCTCGTGGGCTGTAGAGCGCAGGCTCAGTAGCTGTGGCGCACGGGCTTAGTTGCTCCGCGGTATGGGGGATCTTCCCGGACTCTAGGGATCGAACCCGTGTCCCCTGCATTGGCAGGCGGATTCTTAACCACTGCGCCACCGGGGTAGTCTGGTTGATGACATTTTTTTAGATTTATACTTTAGATTTAACTTTTTTTTTTCAGAGTGAGAGGTTTGACACCCTGACTTTTTGTCTAAAAAGTTGGTGGTCCAGGTGCGAAAGTGAAAAGTGACAGTGTCCTTAAATGTAAAACTTGTACTGTTTTTGTGGAGAAAGGTTATGATGAAGCATTATTATACGAGCAATGGCTAAATTCTTTGGCAGCAGTGTTCTGGACGTAGCCTGTTCTGGGCCTGAGGTTATGCATAATACAGAGCTTCACAAGTAGCCTAGCGGGTGCAGATAGCTGTCTGTGCCCAAAGGTGAAGAAAGAGTATGAGAAGCACCGCCCTTCCTCCTTCTGCTCCTTTCTCAGTTGGTAGATGATAGTAATAGCAACATAGTTCAGGATAAGTAGTGCAAATACAGATTGTAGCTGGACAATTTTTACTGGTATAGGGCCCAGGCTGGGGTCGGGGAAATGGTAATATGCTATATATATATATATGTATAAATATATATATATATATAAAGTCCTAAGTATGTTGTGCTTACGATTCCCATGTAAGAAAATCTGATGTGTTAAGATTTAAAATTATAGTTAAAAAATAAGATTTTTGTTATACGCCTGAACTTACAGATTTTTAAAGTTCTGTCTGAACATTTTAATTGAAGTAAATGAACACACGCACAAAATATTCACAAAGGTAATATTTAGAGTTTTGTAAATGTATTCCTTGTTTAACTTGAGAGAAGAAAATTTGGTTCAGAATTTTTTGGGGGTGAAAAACTGCCTTGTTTTTCACAACACAGGAAAATATTTAACTCTAAACATAATATTGATTTTGATTGTAGATATATTTCTAAACAGGAGCCTGAATAAATCTATGTTTTATATTTTGGAATACTCACATTTATTTCTGATGAAGAAAAAGTTAGTATTTATAACACTCTTAAATACTGCTCTCTCCCCTTTCAATATGTGATCAAGACAATGTAATATGTTTATCCATATCCATTTGGTGCGATTGTCCATATGCTTTTAAAATACTGAGTATGTATTTTTAGCTCATTTTAAGCTAACATACCTTGGAGAAAATAAAATGTATAATATTTCCATATTGCTGATGAAAATTAATTTTAGACTTGACTGCTCCCCCCACCTCTTTTTTGAATTAATAGAGTCGTTTATCAGGTGTATAACATTGGCCAAGTCACTCCTTCCCCGACTCCAGGTTTTCTCATCTGACAAAGCTTGACTTAAAGCTTTCACAAAAGCTAGTTGCAGGTGCAGTGTAGATAAAATGTGAAAGACAAAACCTGAAAACTCTTAGAAAACAAAATAGAATGTATTCATGCCCTAGAGTAGGAAAATACATATTTTTTAAACAGAAGATCAAGGCAGAAAATGAAGAAATTGGATTATATTAAAGTTAAGAGCTTATGTTTATCAAAATATAGTTTAGAAGGTTGAAGGGAAAGTTACAGGGTAAGAGAAGATATTTGATATATGTACACACACATACATATAGATATTTGCAAATACACACACACACACACATTCTTCTAAGAATAACCAGACTATATACAGAATCTCTATACATTAATAAGAAAAAGACTGACAGTGCCATAGTAAAATGAGCAAGAGGATTGAATAAGCACTTTACGAAAGAGGATATCTGTAGGGTCAGTGAATATATGAAGAGATTTCTTTAGTTATCAGAAAATGCAAATAAAATCCAACTTGAGTACCATTACACACCTTCCAGAAAGACTAAAATTTAAACGATCAACAATGCAAAGTGATGATGAAGATGTGGAGCAACAGGAACTTTCACACATTGCTGGCGGGAGTATGAAATCGTACAACCACTTTGGCAAAAGTTTGGTAATAACGATTAAGTTTGATCTGTACATATCGTATGTCCCAGTAGTTTCACTGTTAGGAGGGTCTCTGCGTGTGTGTATTTGAGAACCGTGTGCCCACATGCAGCAGAAGATGCATACAGCAATATTAATAGTGCTGTTTGCAGTTGCCAATAATTAGAAAAAAAACAAGTGACCACCAAGTAGTCACCCCTACAAATAAATATTTATACGAAGGCGTACTAAGTAGGAATGAAAGTCAATGAACTTCAGTTACCTAGGTCATCATGTTTGAATCTCACAAAAAATTGAGTAAAATATAAAAGATAAAGAATGTATGTATAGGGGGCATCCCTGGTGGCGTAGTGGTTGAGAGTCTGCCTGCTGATGCAGGGGACACGGGTTCGTGCCCCGGTCCGGGAAGATCCCACATGCCGCAGAGCGGCTGGGCCCGTGAGCCATGGCTGCTGAGTCTGTGCGTCTGGAGCCTGTGCTCCGCAATGGGAGAGGCCACAGCAGTGAGAGGCCTGCGTACCGCAAAAAAAAAAAGAATGTATGTATATATGGATGCTTATGTTTCTGTACATTTAAAAAACTGTTGTCAGGGTTTACACACAGACATGAAACTATAAAGCCCAGCAAGGAGATTAATAGCGTAAGTGCCATGATGGTGACCATCTTTTGAGTAAGAGGGGGATGTATTTGGAAAAGGGTACCAGGATCTCTGGGGTGCCAGAAGTATCTTACTTCTCACACCTGAGCAGTGGGTACTCTGGTATTTGCTTTATAATAACTCACAAAGCTACATATTTGTGATTATGCATTTTTTGTATGTGTGCTATCTATATTTTGCAATTAAATTTTTAAAAGAAGTTTGTCTTTAAAAATTAAGATAACTTCTAAAGGTGGATAAATTCCAGCTATAAACCATGACTCAATTCATAACTTGACTCAATTCATAACATGACTCAATTCATAACTCAATTCATAACTTCCTTCTAATTTTTGATCATATGATTATGTATTTTTGGTTTTACTGTTGATGATCTTTCCATTGTTAGTAATTAAGTGTTGAAATACTATGGGAAAGCAGTGGTGTGCTGAGCTACTTCATACAGGCACATGAGAATTGAGAGTGCACATCTTTTCCAACCCCATGTTCAGTGACATCACATTGGTAAGCTCAAATTGGCCATGATGGGAGTAGTTACAACCATGGAAATAGGCAAAACCCACAAATCAGGGTTCCCCCACCTCCCTGGAAAGTTGTTGGTTAAACATTTACTTGCACACCACTCTGATTTGCCATATTGTGTGAGAGGTGTTTAAAGAAAAGGTATCAACTAAACCAATACTTATTTTTCTCATGGTACTATAAACAGCACTTGAACTCTAGCAAGTTATTTTACTTTTGTGTGTCTCTCAATTTTACCTTTAAAACAGAGAGGTTAATAGTAGCCACTAAAAAATAAGTTAATACAAGCACAGTATTTTGTATAGTAAGTACTCAGTAAATTTTGCTGTTTTAAAAAAGTCATGTCAGTAAGGTGAATATTTGGGAGAATGCAAGCATTTCCTTTAATGTGAATCTTCACAGTTCTTTTACACATTTGTCATATAAATGCTGAGAAATTCTTCACTTGTATTCTGTTGGAATAGGAAAGCTAAATAACTACCTGGAATGTTTTCCAAATAATATTTCATTATTTTACTTTTAGGTTATTCCTCCTAAGGAGTGGAAGCCAAGGCAGTGCTATGATGACATTGACAATTTGCTTATTCCAGCGCCAATTCAGCAGATGGTCACAGGGCAGTCAGGACTGTTCACTCAATACAACATCCAGAAAAAAGCCATGACAGTGAAGGAGTTCAGGCAGCTGGCCAACAGTGGCAAGTGAGTAGATTCAGTTTACTATTTTTATTTCTTTTGAAGATACAGGTGAACATGGTAAGTAACCAAGTAGATGGGAGCTTGTGGTGAAAAGCAGGAGTCTTCTGCACAATCTCTTTCAGTCCTCATTTAACTGTTACTGTTTTCTGTTTTTCAGGTGGTTGCCTGCCTACTTACTTTAGTTTACTGCTAGGGAAATTGTTCCTCGTTTTATCATCTCATTCATAATATTTGTAAATGTTTTTTTTCCTATCTTTTAGTTGCCATGAGTTTTTGATTCTACACTTGATTCATCTTTGTTAGGCAAATTTTCTTCTGTGTGTGACAATCTTTAAGTCTTTCTTTTTTTTAATAGCATTCCTCTTTTTAAAAAAATTAATTATTTTTGGCTGCGTTGGGTCTTTGTTGCTGCGCGTGGGCTTTCCCTAGTTGGCATTGAGCAGAGGGCTACTCTTCGTTGTGGTGCGCGGGCTTCTTATTGCAGTGACTTCTCTTGTTGCAGAGCATGGGCTCCAACAAGTTTCCGGGGAGGTGGGGGAACCCTGATTTGTGGTTTTTGCCTATTTTCATGGTATATCTACTCCCGCACAGGCATGCGGGCTTCAGTAGTTGTGGCACGTGGGCTCAGTAGTTGTGGCTCGCGGGCTCAGTAGTTGTGGCTCGCGGGCTCTAGAGTGCAGGCTCAGTGGTTGTGGTGCACGGGCTTAGTTGCTCCATGACATGTGGGATCTTCCTGGAGCAGGGCTCGAACCCGTGTCCTCCGCATTGGCAGGCGGATTCTTAACCACTGTGCCACCAGGGAAGTCCTGACAATGTTTAAGTCTTAAATGATAAGTTATATATATTAGAAGATGAGTAATTTAAAAAGAAAATCCTTGAATGACTTGAAGGGCCACCAGTATTGTGTTAGTCACCTGCTGCTATCTAACACATCACCCCAAACCTTAGTATCTTAAATCAATAAACATTTAACATCTCAGTTTCTTAAGGTCAGGAATCTGGGAGTGGCTCAGCCAGGTGGCTGTGGCTCAGGGCCTCTCCTGAGGTTGCATTCAAGTTGGCTGGGGCTGCTGTCACCTGAAGGCTTGACTGTGACTAGAAGATTTTCTCCCAAGATTGCTCCCCTTACATGGCAGTTGGCTGGAGTCCTGAGTCCTTTGCCACATGAACTGCTCCTCGTGTTGTGGCAGCTGGCTTCTTCCAAAGCAAGTGATCCAGGAGTTACCAAGATGAAGACACAATGTCTTTTCATGACCTGTTTCTTGACTGTCATTTCTGCCATATTCTATTTGTTATAAGCCAAATGCAGCCCATACTTAAGGGGAGGAGAATTAAGCTGTAAGTCTTGAAGGGAGGTGTGTCAAAGAGTTTGTGGTTATATTTTAGAAACTATCACAGTTATGATTGTTATTAAATTGCCCCCCCACTGTTTTTTTTTAAAGTTTCTGATATGGTGGTTAAGGCCTTAGATCAAAATATTAATCTGGAAAAAAAAATACCCCCCCAAAACCAACCAACCAATCATCCAACCAAAAAACATCAGTGTCTAAATTCTCTGGATGGGTATTCCTGAGATTAAGTCCTTTGGATAAATTTAGTTGATATCTTTTAAAAAAAATTTATATTTGACATAGTAAGCACTTGATGGTACTTGAAGAATCTTTTTTCTGTGTGAAGTTCGTATTATGGAGCAGTCTGGCTAATCCAAAGCAATTAGACATTTTATAATTAATTCAAGTCCCTCTTGAATTTTTTTTTAAACATCTTTATTGGAGTATAATTGCTTTACAATGGTGTGTTAGTTTCTGCTTTATAACAGTTGAGTTTTTTTCCATAGGCATTAGTAAAGCCTCATTGTTTCAGATTTCATTGATTGAGAATGTGAAACTTTTATTTGGACTAGACTTGTTTGCTTTTATACTCTTTAAGAACTCTAATAAGTTCAATGCTAAAACAAGATTGCAGAAGCAATTTTATCCAACTTTTTTTTTTTCCTAACCCAGTGTTAGAAAGATTATAGGGGTCCCAGAAGAAGAAGAGAAAAAGAAAGGGTCTGAGAAAATATTTAAAGAGATTATAGTCAAAGACTTCCCTAACATGGGAAAAGAAATAGTCACCCAAGTCCAGGAAGCACAGAGAGTCCCATACAGAATAAACCCTAGGAAAAACACACCAAGACACATATTAATCAAACTAACAAAAGTTAAATTCAAAGAAAAATTATTAAAAGCAACAAGGGAAAAACAAAAAATAACATACAAAGGAATCCTCATAAGGTTATCAGCTGATTTTTCAGTGGAAACTCTGCAGGCCAAAAGGGAGTGGCAGGATATATTTAAAGTGATGAAAGAGAAAAACCTACAACTGAGATTACTCTACCCAGCAAGGATCTCATTCAGATTCGATGGAGAAATCAAAAGCTTTTCTTTTTTTTAAAGATAATTATTTTATTTTTTAAAATATTTATTTATTTATTTTTGGCTGCCTTCCTTCTTCATTGCAGTGGCTTCTCTTGTTACGGAGCACGGACTCCAGTAGTTGTGGCTCGCGGGCTCTAAAGCACAGGCTCTGTAGTTGTGGCACACTGGCTTAGTTGTGCTGTGGCATGTGGGATCTTCCTAGACCAGGGATCGAACCTGTGTCCCCTGCATTGGCAGGCAGATTCTTAACCACTGTGCCACCAGGGAGGTCCCTCAAAAACTTTTCAGACAAACAAAAGCTAAGAGAATTCAGCACCACCAAACCAGCTTTACAACAAATGCTAAAGGAACTTCTCTAAGCAGGAAACACAAGAGAAGAAAAAGACCTGCAAAAACAAACCCAAAACAATTAAGAAAATGGTAATAGGAACATACACATCGATAATAAGCTTGAATGTAAATGGACTAAATGCCCCAACCAAAAGACACAGACTGGCTGAATGGATACAAAAACAAGACCATATATATGCTGTTTACAAGAGACACACTTCAGACCTAGGGACACATACACACTAAAAGTGAAGGGATGGAAAAAGATATTCCATGCAAATGTAAATGAAAAGAAAGCTGGAGTAGCAATACTCATTTCAGATTAAATAGACGTTAAGATAAAGATTGTTACAAGAGATAAGGAGAGACACTACATAATGTTCAAAGGATCAATCCAAGAAGAAGATATAACAATTATAAATATTTATGCACCCAACATAGGAGCACCCGAATACATAAGGCAAATTCTAACAACCATGAAAGGAGAAATCGACAGTAACACAATAATAGTAGGGGACTTTAACACCCCACTTACACCAATGGATAGATCATCCAAACAGAAAATAAACAAGGAAACACAAACTTTAAATGACACAATAGACCAGATAGATCTAATTGATATTTATAGAACATTCCACCCAAAAGTGGCAGAATACACTTTCTTCTCCAGTGCACATGGAACATTCTCCAGGATAGATCACATCTTGGGTCACATATCAAGCCTCCGAAAATTGAAGAAAATTGAAGTCGTACATCTTTTCTGACCCCAACGCTATGAGATTGGAAATCAATTACAGGAAAAAAACCCGTGAAAAACACAAATACATGGAGGCTAAACAGTGCACTACTAAATAATCAAGAGATCACTGAAGAAATCAAAGAAGAAATAAAAAAATACGTAGAAACAAATGACAACGAAAGCATGATGACCCAAAACCTATGGGATGCAGCACAAGCAGCTCTAAGAGGGAAGTTTATAGCAATTCAATCTCACCTCAAGAAACAAAAATCTCAAACAATCTAACCCTACTCTTAAAACAACTAGAGAAAGAAGAACAAAGAAAACCCAAAGTCAGTAGAAGGAAAGAAATCATAAATATCAGAGCAGAAATAAATGAAATAGAAATGAAGAAAACAATAGCAAAGATCAATAAAACTAAAAGCGGGTTCTTTGAGAAGATAAACAAAATTGATAAACCCTCAGTAAGTGGTGCAGGGAAAACTGGGCAGCTACATGTAAAAGAATGAAATTAGAACACTACCTAATGCCATACACAAAAATAAACTCCAAATGGATTAAAGATGTAAATGTAAGACCAGACACTATAAAACTTTTAGAGGAAAACATAGGAAAAACACTCTTTGACATAAACCACAGCAAGATCTCTTTTGACCCACCTCCTAGAGTAACAGAAATAAAACCAAAAATAAACAAATGGGACTTAATTAAACTTAAAAGCTTTTACACAGCAAAGGAAACCATAAACAAGACAAAAGGCAACCCTCAGAATGGGAGAAAATATTTGCAAATGAAACAACAAAGGATTAATCTCCAAAATATACAAACAGCTCATGGAGCTCAATATCAAAAAATCAAACAATCCAGTTAAAAAATGGGTGGAAGACCTAAATAGGCATTTCACCAAGGAAGACATACAGATGGCTGAGAGGCACATGAAAAAATGCTCAGCATCACTAATTATTAGAGAAATGCAAATCAAAACTACAATGAGGGGCTTCCCTGGTGGTGCAGTGGTTGAGAGTCCGCCTGCCGATGCAGGGGACATGGGTTCGTGCCCCGGTCCGGGAAGATCCCACATGCCGCAGAGCGGCTGTGCCCGTCAGCCATGGCCTCTGAGCCTGCGTGTCTGGAGCCTGTGCTCTGCAACGGGAAAGGCCACAACAGTGAGAGGCCCGCGTACTGCAAAAAAAACAAAAAACAAAAAACTACAGTGAGGTATCAGCTCATGCCAGTCAGAATGGCCATTATCAAAAAAGCGAGAAACAATAAATGCGGGAAAGGGTATGGTGAAAAGGGAACCCTCCTGCACTGCTGGTGGGAATGTAAATTGATATAACCACTATGGAAAACAGTATGGAGGTTCCTTAAAAAACTAAAAATAGAACTACTATATGACCCAGCAATCGCACTACTGGGCATATACTCTGAGAAAACCATAATTCAAAAAGAGACATGCACCACAGTGTTCATTGCAGCTCTATTTCCAATAGCCAGGACATGGAACCAACCTAAATGTCCATTGACAGATGAATGGATAAAGAAGATGTGGCACATATATACAATGGAATATTACTCAACCATAAAAGGAAACGAAACTGAGTTACTTGTAGTGAGGTGGATGGACCTAGAGCTTGTCATACAGAGTGAAGTAAGTCAGGAAGAGAAAAACTAATACTGTATGCTAATGCATACTATGGAATCTTAAAAAAAAAAAAGGGTACTGATGAACCTAGTTGCAGGGCAGGAATAAAGAGGTAGACATAGAGAATGACCTTGATGACATGGGGTGGGAGGGCGAAGCTGAGGCGAAGTGAGAGTTGCATCAACATATATACACTATGGAATGTAAAATAGTTGGCTGGTGGGAAGCAGCTGCATAGCACAGGGAGATCAGCTTGGTGCTTTGCGATGACCTAGAGAGGTCGGATAGGGAGGATGGGAGAGAGGCTCAAGAGGGAGGGGATATGGGGACATGTGTATGCATATGGCTGATTCGCTTTTTTGTGCAACAGAAACTAACACGGTATTGTGAAGCAATTATACTCCAATAAAGATCTATTTAAAAAAAAACTATTAAATAGCTTAGTTCATTTAGTGGAACCTCTACTTCACTACTTTGATATTTCAAGAGACTGTTTGTACTTGGAAATAATCAGATAATACTTACTAGAAAATGTTGGCTAATATCCTTAAAAATCATCATAATTATTATGAGAAAGTTCTGTGGGGTTTCAAAGGAAGGTAAACCTTCTGTGGTAGTTAATTGGAATGGTGTAATTTCATTTCGTAGGTGCTACTGAGATGGATTTTGAAGGAAGGTCAGAAACGTTACAAAACTAATGTATGCTTATTTAAAAATTCAAACATTATAGAAATGCGTAATTTCAACTCCCGGAAACAATCATTGTTAATAATACATGGCGATTCAAAATATTGATGAGTACAGAGTCTCAAAGTCCTGTGTTCTCTTGTCACGGAGAAACTTTGATTATCATCTCTAGCCCATTTGATTATCGTAGCATGGTGTCAGTTTTCTATTTAGAGGGAATTTATCTTACTAGGCACTTACTTTATTCATATCTCTGTTTTTTATTCTGGTGGCTTAATTGTAGATTGACTCTTCCTGAAGGTAGCCGTTCAGCTGATAGTCTTTGTTTTGTGTTCCACTGTGTACCCAGTGCTTGGTACAGTATCTGGGACATGGTAGGTGCTGTTTCAATATATGTTGATTGAAAAAATAAATAGTGTCATGAAGCTAAAATATACTTGAAGTAGTATAAATTATTAAACAGATTGTAAAGATTTACTTATTAACAGAATATACATTTCTTGATATTCTGAAGTTCAAAGATAATTTAAAAAATAGTGGACTCTAGGGACTTCCCTGGTGGTCCAGTGGTTAAGAACCCATGGTTCCAATTCAGTGGGCTCAGGTTCCATCCCTGGTTGGGGAACTAGGATCTCACATGCCACGTGGAGTGGTCAAAAAAAAAAAAATAGTGGACTCTTTTTTTTCGTTACAAAATATGACTATCATGAGAAATTGTCTGAAAGATTATTTCCAGATTAAATGTCATTTCTTTCAAAGTTGATGTATCTTTTGAGTTGCATTAATTTCACTGTAATTTTTGTAACGTTGTTCCTTTTTTTTTTTTGCGGTACGTGGGCCTCTCACTGTTGTGGCCCCTTCCGTTGCGGAGCTCAGGCTCCAGACACACAGGCTAAGCGGCCATGGCTCACGGGCCCAGCCGCTCCGCGGCATGTGGGATCCTCCCGGACCGGGGCACGAACCCGTGTCCCCTGCATCGGTAGGCGGACCCTCAACCACTGCGCCACCAGGGAAGCCCCTGTTGTTACCTTTGAAATTTATATTTTTATATTTCCTCTGTGAGTTTCCTATGAAAATTTATTTCAAATGCCAGTGAAATGGGTTTTAAGCCTCAAGCCAAGGCTCTACTTGTCCACTCACAGCTACACGAGGATCACATGGTCTTCATAACAGTTATGGAATGGTCCTAAGATGGGACTAATTTTCATGGTAGGCAAGAGGCATTTTTCTGGTCTTTCTGTTCATCTGTTCTCCTTCAGTACATGCCCTTGCATAGGTACACAGTACATAATGTGCTTGGTGGTAGAGAGGATAACACGCTCATTTGGTTAATAACATAACTTAGTCCAAAGAAAATCTGGAGACCTCCAACGTATCTTTACTATAAAAGTTTGTGGAGGTGAGTAATATGCTGCTTCCCATCACTTACATTGTTGATCTGTACTTTCTTCTAGGCATGGAGCTAAGTGCTTTACAGAATTATCTGATGGAGTCTTCACAACAGCTCAATTGTTATTATCCCTGTTTTATACAGGAGTAACTGAGGTCCAGAGAGATTCAGTCTCCTGTCCTGGGTTATGTAGCTTATAAATGGCAAAGCCTGGATTTAGATCCAAGCAGTCTGGTTCTGGAGCCCTGTCTCTTAACAACTGTGCTATAGTGAATGAAAGGTTCTGGGTAAGAAGTGTGGTTGAATCAGTTTTGAGCAAGTTGATGCTGGATTTGTTGAATAGGCGTGATTGTTTGGCAGTCCATTAGGGATGGAAACTGTAGCCAGGTTTCATTAGAATCAGGTACCAAGTAAGTGAACTCGTCCCTTTTTCCAAGTTTAGTATCAGTGTTTGTTTCAAATATTCAGGGATTTTAGACTTTAACCTCAATAGCTAATACCCAACTATAGCTTTCTCTCTTAGAGTTATGGGTTGCTAAAAATTTATCCTGACGGGGTGAGTATATGGTGATAGATTCTTTAGGTCTTCTCATAGTGAAAGGCAGTTTAGGCTTTCAATTTCTAAAATCTAAGAAGTTTCTTTAGAAGTCATAATAAACAGCATCTTTGCTACCTTTTTTTGTCACCTGACTCTGACCTCTGGTTAGCTTGTTTAGCTTGTGCCTGGAATGTCTGTTACTACTGGAACCCTCTAATCAAAGCATTAGAATGAAGTGGAGTGGATTCTTTCACGCCCATCCTTTTTATTTTTGGTTGCCCTGTGAGATTAAATCTGTAAATTACTCTTTATTTCAAATCCAGTTGTTAAATTGTTTGGCATTCTCGCTTATTGCTTAGATAACCAGTTTGGCATCCCCAGTGTAGTAGATGTAGATGTTGCTTGTTCTATAATTCTTCAATCTAAAATGTCCAGTAGGCTTGATAGGGATTGCTGCTTCTGCTAAACACCTTTTTCACTATGTGTGTTCCATTGCTTTCTCAGTTTGTTGATTTCTTTGCTAATTTTTTTTTCCTGTAGAAACATTGTGGGTTTTTTTTTTTCGGTAATAATATAAGATTATTGTTCAAAATCCAAATAATACAGAGAAGTACCTTTCTGTAATTCCTATGTAAGAGATAACCATTAGTATTAATAGTTTAGAGTATATTTCTTTCTGGCCATTTAATGTACAGTTACAGATCTTTTTTTTTTTTTTTTTTTTTTTGCGGTACGTGGGCCTCTCACTGTTGTGGCCTCTCCCGTTGCGGAGCACAGGCTCCAGACTCGCAGGCTCAGCGGCCATGGCTCACGGACCCAGCCGCTCCGCGGCATGTGGGATCCTCCCTTGCATTGGCAGGCGGACTCTCAACCACCGCGCCACCAGGGAAGCCCTACAGATCTTTTTGTTATGTAAATAGGATCATAGTATTTTTACTGTTCTGTAATCTGCTTTATTCACTGTGGAAAGATTTTAATGTCAATATACAGAAAGATCTGCCTTATTTTGTGTTGTTTTATTTAACATAGTCCTAGTTGCTGGACGTAAGCTTGAGGTTTCAGTTAATGCTGCAGCAACATTCTGGGTCATATATCATTGTATACATCTCTATGTTGAGATGAATTTCTAGAGTTGAATTTTAGGTTCAAAGGGGCATTTTTTTTTTTTTTTTTTTTGTGGTACGCGGGCCTCTCACTGTTGTGGCCTCTCCCGTTGCGGAGCACAGGCTTCGGACTCGCAGGCTCAGCGGCCATGGCTCACGGGCCTAGCCACTCTGCGGCATGTGGGATCTTCCCGGACCGGGGTGCGAACCCGTGTCCCCTGCATCGGCAGGCGGACTCTCAATCACTGCGCCACCAGGGAAGCCCAAAGGGACATTTTTTAAGGCTATTGAAAAATTATACTCTGATACCAGTATATACCCCGACTCCAGCTGTGTAAGAGAAGTTTCATTCTTTACCACCATTTATATATTAAGCATTTGCCAATCTGATAGGTACAGAATATCTTATTTTAGTTTTACTTTCTTGGAGTTTTAGTGAGATTGTCCTTTGTCAATTTTTCTATAGAAAAATATAAGAAATTTTAAGTGAATTACATATAATTAATAATAAATATTAAGTTATATATAACAAATTACATATATTCTAAGTTATATGTTTTGTCTTTGTAAGTCTTTTATTCTAAGTTATATGTTTGTGTTTTACATGTAAATCTCTAAAATGTCCTAGTATAGTATAATTGGTTAAAGATTTTAGAAAATATTTTGAAAGCTAAAATAATATTAAGTAGTTTTCTATTGTTGATACTTTCATAAAAATATTTTTCTTATTCATCAAAAAATGAGGTTTTCATCTAGTTATTTAGGAATCTTAGAGTCTTCAGAGATCTATGATAAACACATGTATATATTTACTTGTCAGATTTGACACCATGAGCTGCTGCAGTGTTTTCATTTTGATAGAATTTTGTTTAGAAAGTGATTTAAATCAAATGGGTAGGGAAAATCTGAAAATTGTCTTACTGTTTTGTACTTTGTTTCATCTCCCTTTTCCAGGTATTGTACTCCGAGATACTTGGATTATGAAGATTTGGAGCGCAAGTACTGGAAGAACTTAACCTTCGTGGCACCTATCTATGGTGCAGACATTAATGGGAGCATATATGATGAGGTATGTTTATATTACAGTGGGTTTTGTAAAGCATCATTTCATGTTACTATTTTTGTTACCATTTTCAGTGGTCGAGAAGCAGTCATTTATTGTGCTCTGTGTGACCCATAATTCTTCACAGGACAAGAGGAAATACAGACACATCAGTATGATTTCTGCTGCTTCTGTTTTTTACATTGAAACCAGCTAATTGTACAAATATGTGAGCCTGTTCAACAGTAATATAGTATGTGGTTATCTGGCTGATCTTCAAATCACACTCAAAATTTTTAAAAGCAAAGCACATTATAAAAATACCTGGAAAACAGGGAATATTATTCATAATAGTACCATCTTAAGGCAAAAGCAGTATTGTAATATGTGTTCTTCCTGTAGTTTTCCCCTAATCATTTGAAAAAGTTATATTAAACATGCTTATAGGACTTCCCTGGTGGCACAGTGGTTAAGAATCCGCCTGCCAATGCAGGGGACACGGGTTCGAGCCCTGGTCTGGGAAGATCCCACATGCCGCAGAGCAACTGAGCCCATGCGCCACAACTACTGAGCCTGTGCTTTAAAGCCTGCGAGCCACAACTACTGGGCCAGTGTGCTGCAACTACTGAAGCCTGCGCACCTAGAGCCCGTGCTCCACAACAAGAGAAGCCACCACAATGAGAAGCCCGAGCATCACAACAAAGAGTAGCCCCCGCTTGCTGCAACTAGAGAAACCCTGCGTGCAGCAACGAAGATCCAACACAACCAAAAATGAATGAATGAATGAATGAATATATAAAGCAAAAACAAAACAAAACATGCTTATATTCTCTTTTTTATCCCCCCCACACAAATTGTGAGAATTTTTTCTTTTTTAAAAGTACATATTACATATTTCCAGTTATTTTTCATGAGAGCATAATCTTCTTGATGTAATCTAATCCTTCTTGCCTCCCCTGATACTACTTGAAATCCTATTTTTTTAAAAAAATCTTTTCTTTTTGAAACCTTTTATTCCCTCTCCCATTGCTTTATTTAGAGAAATTTCTTGCCTACCAAAAAGTTGAAGTGATGCAGTGAACACCTGGATGCCCTCACATGGATTCACTAGTTGTTAATATTTGCCACATTTGCTTTTTGTTTCTCTATCACTCTGTCTGTGTCTCTGTCTCTCTGTCCTTATGCTGTAACATTTGAAAGTAAGTTGCAGACATCATGACAATTCACCCTTAATTATTTCAGCATGTTTCTTTCAGTTATAAGGCAATTTAACGTTTATATAATGTCATCTAATATAGAAACCATACTCAAAGATCCCTGATTTTCCCAGTAATGTTCTTTATAACCTGCTTTGAAGGTTATATGAAGGATCCCACCAGGGATTTCCCTTTAAAGTTAGTAAGTGTGCTATAGGGTAATATTTAGAGGCTAGTTGAATATCCTGTTCCCAATAGCCTTTCACCCAGTGAATTTGCCTCCATTGATAATCCTTGACCGAGTCAATTATTGTACTATTTTTAAACTGTTTATATTTTGAAATATAAAACAAGCTGGAAAGTGGATAAAACATAAACTTAGAGCTTCATGAATTATTGTAAGGTGAATACCTATGTACCATCCCTGACATCAAGGAAAACATTACAGGCACCCTAGATTTCCCCTATCTGTCCCCTTTACCTATTATAGTCTCCTACTTTTCCTCCAAAGCAGTGGTTATAGGGTATACACATGGGTAGTTTTAGAACAAAACTATTTTCCACTTTACACCTTTCTATACCAGTGTTTGCTACTTCCATTGCCCCACAGCCTCCCTGACATTAGACATTCTAAAATTAAATGGGAGTATGTAGCAGGTTCTTGTGGTTTTAAATAACATCATGATTTTTTTTCTTTTATGTTCATTGGCTGTTTGGATTTCCTCTTTATCAAAATGCCTGTTCAAGCCTCTTGTACGTTTTTCTTTTTAGTCATGCTTTTCTTATTGAGTTACAGTTCGTTATAATACATTTCTGGATATGAGGTAGTGGCACAGTTTTAGTTTTTCTATATGGATCTTCAGTTGTTGAACACTGTTATTGAAAGGACCATTCTTATTTTTGAAAATGGGCTGGGTATTAGATGATACTATGGAATTACTGTTGTCCTATTAGACGTGATGATGACATGGTGGCTATATATATATTTCCTTGTCAACTGACAATACACACTGAAAAATATATAGGTGAAATAACATGCAGTCTGGGATTTGTTTTATTTTGTTTTTTAAATTAATTAATTTTTTTGGCCGCGCTGTGCGTCTTGCAGGATCCTAGGTCCCCAGTCAGGGTTTGAACCACGGCCACAGCAGCGAAAGCACCGAGTCTTAACTATTGGACCACCAGGGAATTCCCCTGGGATTTATTTATTTATTTATTTATTTTTTGCGGTACCGGGCCCCTCACTGCTGTGGCCCCTCCCATTGCGGAGCACAGGCTCTGGACGCCCAGGCCCAGCGGCCACGGCTCACTGACCCAGCTGCTCCGCGGCATGTGGGATCCTCCCGGACCAGGGCACGAACCTGTGTCCCCTGCATGGGCAGGTGGACTCTCAACCACTGAGCCACCAGGGAAGCCCGGATTTGTTTTTAAAATACCTCAGGAAATAAAGTGGTATGACTTTTGTTGAATAAAGATTGGCAAAATATTGTTAAATGAAGCTAGATGATGGATACATGATGTTTAGAATATGTGTATGTTTGAAATACTAAAAATAAAAGTTAAAGAAAGGGAAAACATCCTTTCTCTTCCTCCTTTTGTATTTTCACTAGTGTAAGTAACCTCTCTGTTGAGAATTTTTGTTTAAGTTTGTACATGCTCATGTAGAAAAATAGAGGAAAAATGAAGAAAAAAGTTACTCATAAGCTTGCCAAACAAACATAACCTCTTTATGATTTCCTTTTGGCCATTTATTTATTTAATTTTGGGTATCCTATTTTATTAGCATTTAAATTTCACCAAGAGTTCAAGCACATGCTAGCCATATGTTCAGACTTTTGAAATAAAGGTAAAATGGGCAAACAGCTTTAAGGGTGCAACGTATTTAACACTGCACAATATATTAACTAACTAGACAATCTAAGGGGTGGTATAACTATACACTTAGGAGCACCAAGTGTAGGAACAAGTCCTGGGATTGGAGGAAAAACCCGCCATTCAGGACTGAACAGAGGTCCTTGGCTGCTGACAGAATCTCCCCTTGACTTCAGACTTGAGACAAACCGAGCAAGTCTATCAGCATACAAAACCCACTGATTTCAGGACAAACAGTAACAGGATAGACTGGCCAGGGCCAATTCAGATTGTGCGGATAGTCTGAAGCGGGCAGGGCTGGCTGCAGGCTGGAAATGTTGCAGTTGAAGTCCAGGATCGGCAGATGAGAGCAGCCACCTTCTAAAAATCGCTGATTTCTATACAACTTCCCAAGATGCTTTTCCCAAACAGGGTGGCCTTTTATTTTATGTCAGTGTGTGTATGTCAGTGTGTGTATGTATATGTATGCATGTGCTTGTATGTGTGAGTGTGTTTCCCCATCTCAAATGCTGAGAGATTTTAACAGTTTTTTTGCTTTAGAAGCATTTTCAGTATTGGTCTCCAGAGGATCATTTTAGTGTATTCTAACCCCAGCCAGTTTTAGAGTGTACCTTGTATTAAGTCTTTGCTTTTTTTTTTTTTGGTATTTCAATTCCAAGTATATTCTTTTTTTTTTTAATTGAAATATAGTTGATTTACAATGTTGTGTTACTTTCTGCTGAACAGCCGAGTGATTCCTTTATACTCCAGGTATATTCTTTAAGTTTGACATGTTATGGTTACTTATGTTTAGGAAAATGAGTGCCATTAGTAGCGAAGCTTCCTTACAGAAGATGGTACCTTGTCTTATTAAAACAGCTTCTCTGGGATTTCCATTGAAATGGGTGAGGCCAAGCAAATATGGTTGGTATTTTCAGTTGGGGCCCAGCAAAGTTAAAGTGTTTTCTCAAAGTTACGAGGCTAGTAGACTGGCTGCCAGGTGCTCTTATTCCCCACACGTTTTAAGGGAGTAATTATGTATAGTCAGTCTCACAGTTGTGGAAATGTGTACAACTAGGTCTGGGTCACCTACAAATTTCCCCTGAGCTAATGGTTTATTTTGTGCCTTCTCTGTGGTTTCGTCCCTGTGGTATCCTGGCAAGTTTGCAGGTTTCTAAAAGGAAGACTGAGCTGAGGAATCATCTGGATCTTGGGCTGAGAGGTTACACGTCTCAGGGCTCAAAAATAAAATAAACGCAGTTCAAGATTTTTTTCTGACCATACCTTGGGATCATTGAGCTCTTTGTTCCTTTTTTTTTTTTTTTTTTTAATGCTGTATGCGGGCCTCTCACCGCTGTGGCCTTTCCCATTGCGGAGCACAGGCTCCGGACGCGCAGGCTCAGCGGCCACAGCTCACGGGCTGAGCCGCTCCGCGGCATGCGGGATCCTCCCGGACCGGGGCACAAACCCGTGTCCCCTGCATCGGCAGGCGGACTCCCAACCACTGCACCACCAGGGAAGCCCCCTCTTTGTTCCTTTTTGCAAATATAATTAAGAGGTAGAAGCAGCATACGATTTTCAGAACAGTCAACATAAAACTGCCCTGAACTGGCTTTACACATTTGATAGTTAAAATAACATAATTTTTGACAGCACAGCTGAGGGTGATGGACATTGGTTTGCAGTACTTATCAATTTACCACTTGTGTTTGAAAACCAGTTACACAATGGCATTGCTTCAAGGGAACATTGACTTTAGACTTCAGATTTGAGTAACTTTAGTTATTAAAATCCAATGAACAAAATCTGCTGGTTTGTAAACATGCAGTTTTAAAACATTCTCATTATTTACAGGTTTTGGAGCCAGGAATCTGTCATTTTGGGAGGACCTACAAGGCATAGTATTTTATGGAATTTTTGTAGGAGCATTTAGTAGCTCGAGAACTGAGCTGACGTTTTCAATGCTTTTGTATCATAAAG